TGTTTATTGATGACGTGAGAGAAGACAGAAGCAGGCTAATTAATTCTGCAGTGTTTAGAGATATACTGTCAGAGCAGATTCAGCCAAATGCAGCAAAGTTGATTGGACGGCGCTTCACAGTACAGATGGACAATGATTTAAAACACACAGTAAAAGCAACCCAGGAGCTTTTGAAGGAAAAGAAGTGGAATGTTTTTCAATGGCCAGGTCAATCACCTGATCTCAACCCAATTGAGCATGGATTTCACTTAATGAAGGCAAAACTAAAGGCAGAAAGACTCACAAAGAAAAACTGTAGACAGCTGCAGTTAGAGCCTAGCAAAGCAGCTTTGGTAATGTCCATGGGTTCCAGACTTCAGGCAGTCATTGCCAGTAAAGGATTCTCAACAAAATATTAAAAATTAAGATTTTATTTATGAATATATTAATTTGTACAATTACGTTTGAACCCTTGAAAATGGAGGGACTGTGTATAAAAATGGTTGCCGTTCCTAAAATTTGTATTTGATATGTATGTTCAACCCCTTGAATTAAAGCTAAAAGTCTGCACTTCAAATTCATTTGGATTGTTTAGTTTTAATTTATTCTGGTGGCATACAGAGCCAAAAGTATGAAAATTGTGCCTGTGTCCAAAAATATATGGACCTAACTGTATAAACTGACCATACCATCTGTCTGTTTCCTAGGGACTGTTTTCACTTTCACTTGTAGCACAAACCTTGCAGCGCATAGGTGCTGAACCAACAGCATTCGTGGCAACCTGGAGTGATGCACCCTCAATTTGGATTGATGGCTGCCGAGTTGGCCCTATGCACTGCAAGGTTTACTCTAAGCTGTTGGGTGTCTGGGGACAGTGCCAGGGATGCACACAATTTTCTGTCTGACCTAGAAAGAGGAGGGACGGTGATGGAAGGAACCTGGACTTTTACATGTGGAAAACCAGGCAGAATCAGTGAGCCGCCACCACTGAGCCAAAGGGCAAGGTACAATATATTTTAAATAGATGATTTGAATACTTTCCTTGCAACCTCTGTGTTAGCTAATTTAGATTTGACCTTTGCTTTCTCTGCATTACTTAGTCATGATCTGAACCCTGCACTCTGTACATTACTTGCACCTGACACATAGCAGCTGTCAGGGATCGCGGGTCCTCTCCCAGCGCATGCGCACTGGCGGCAGATCACGCCGGGACACAGGCACTAGGTCCCGGCGAGCCGCGGCTGACAGGACGCCGCGCATGCGCAGTAGGAGCCTCGGGCGTCCAATTACAGCCGGGGGCGCGTCCTGGCCGGCCAATGACAGTGCAGGGCGCACTATTTAAAGATGCCCTGCACTGTCACAGATTGCCGCAAGGTCTATATGTGATCCTAAGTTCCTGTACCTGTTTTGTGACCCTGATTGCCCTGACTACTCTGCCTTCTCCTGTGATTTGACCCGGATTGCCCTGACTACGCTGCCTTCTCCTGTGCCTTGATCCAGATTGTCCTGACTACTCTGCCTTCTCCTATCCTGACCCCCGGCTTGTCTGATCATTCTGCGGACTGACTTACCCTGCTGACCCTGCGTGTGACCTGACTACTCTTCGCTTTCCGATTCGGTACCTTGCTTACCCCACGGGACCACGGCTCGTGACCATCCTGCTAGGTCCCGCCATCCTCTTCACATCTGGCTCCCCCGGTACCTGCATACATCCCCGGAGGCTCTCTCTGCCACTGGTGGGCCTGCTCGGAGGTCGTGACCTGGCCCTGGTCTGTTACAAGTCCATCCCCACCATCAGGGGCCCCGGTGAAAGCACAGACCGGGCTTAGACTCCACGCTCTGGGTAGGTCCGTCCAGTGGGCAGCCTGAGGCACCACCTGGCGGATCCTAACAGCAGCATACTGTAGGTTCAGGATTTTAATCAACCATATTTTAGGCCCCTACCATTGTTACTGCAATATGTCCACACACACAATCTGCATCATTCTTCTGATCACTGTGCCCAAGACATTTTTTAGTTATAGTCTATATCTGCATCTTGGTCTAAAAGTCTTTCAGCCTTGTTTTGTAGGGTGTGTAAGCAAAAATTGTTGTGCCATACCTTTAAATTAATAAAACATACATAACACCCTTAAGTGCAAAAATGTGTATAAAAGTCCAATAGATGCAATTTAATTGTGTTTCAGTGATGTGAAAGCTTCTTCAAAATCTTCAGAGGTCAGTTCGCGCAAAATTAAATGATTGGAAATCACATGGCACACCAGCAGAGATCAAAAAGAGTTCAGCTGCAGCCAGTACCTTCACTCAGCAAGTGTTAGGATTATACCAAAGAAAACAAAAACAAACTTTATACTCTAAAACAGTTTTTTTTTAGGAACAAGGAGAGGTACCCACATTAAGCAGCAGAGTATATGAGCAAAACAAAGAACTACTGGTCAGTCCAGCAGCATGATGACATCAGCACAGGCTCAAAGGGCTGGCCGAGCACAAATTATTGTAATTGCATGTGTTATCCACTTACTGGTTCCACCAACTAATCAGACCCCAAAAATAGTCACCAACCCTTAATTCTCTAGTCCTAATAAAAAATATAATATGTACAAGGTATTCTCCGGACTAAAAAAAAAAAAAAAAAAAAAAAAAAAAAAAGTTAATTAACCCTTGAAATGTACAGTTGTGTTCAAAATAATAGCAGTCAGACATCACTAACCTGATCAATCACTGTTTTTGGTAGAAATGATATTTCTACATGGCAAATAATTTACTAGCAGGTGTAGTAGAGTAATAGAAATCCGACAGACCCAACAGTCATGACATGCATGCTGCTGATTCTGTGTAATTGAATCACTAATTGAAAGGGGCATGTTCAAAATAATAGCAGTGTGGAGTTCTATTAGCGAGGTCATTCATTCTTTGAAAAACAGGTGGCAATTATTGCCCTTATTTAAGGAAGGAAGGCAGCAAATATTGCACATTCTGGTTACAGTGCATTTCTCTCTGAAATTCTGAGGAAAATGGGTCGTTCCAGGCATTGTTCAGAAGAACAGCGTACCTTGATTAAAAAGTTGATTGGAGAGGGGAAAACATCTAAAGAAGTGCAGAAAATGATAGGCTGCTCAGCTAAAATGATCGCAAATGCTTTAAAATGGCAACCAAAACCTGAAAGACGTGGAAGAAAGCGAAAAACTACCATTCGAATGGATACAAGAAAAGCCAAAATGGCAAGGACTCAGCCAACAATCAGCTCCAGGAAGATCAAAGAAGGTCTAAAGTTACCTGTGAGTACTGTTACATTTATAAGACGCCTATGTGAAGCCAAGCTATCTGCAAGAAGCCCCCGCAAAGTCCCACTGTTGAAAAAAAGACATGTGCTGAAGAGGTTACAATTTGCCAAAGAGCACATTGACTGGCCTAAAGAGAAATGGCGCAACATTTTGTGGACTGATGAAAGTAAGATTGTTCTTTTTGGGTCTAGTGGCTGGAGAAAGTTTGTCAGACGACCCCCAAACACTGAATTCAAGCCACAGTACACTGTGCAGACAGTGAAGCATGGTTGCGCAAGCATCATGATATGGGGATGTTTCTCATACTACGGTGTTGGGCCTATTTATCGCATACCAGGGATCATGGATCAGTTTGAATACATCAGAATACTTGAAGAGGTCATGCTGCCCTATGCTGAAGAGGAAATGCCCTTGAAATGGGTGTTCCAACAAGACAATGACCCCAAACACACCAGTAAACGTGCAACATCTTGGTTCCAGACCAACAAGATCGACGTTATGGAGTGGCCAGCCCAATCCCCGGATCTTAATCCAATAGAAAACTTGTGGGGTGACATCAAAAATGCAGTTTCTGTGGCAAAACCAAGAAATAGAGAAGAACTGTGGAATGTAGTCCAATCATCCTGGGCTGGAATACCTGTTCACAGGTGCCAGAAGTTGGTTGACTCCATGCAACACAGATGTACAGCAGTTCTCAGAAACAGTGCTTATACAACTAAATCTTCATTAAGTGATTCAAAGGAAAGCAAAATCTTCAAACATTTTTCAGTTTATATAGTGAATGTTTGAGTTTGTAAAGAAAAAGAATACAAACACTGCTATTTTTTTGAACAGTCTAATATTCACTTTTCTTCAATATGTTTAGAGGAACAACACAAATTTGATATATTTTTCTTCATGTTTTGATTTGGAATAGAATGTGTAGTGTTCCCAATGCATTTGTGTGTATGGAAATAAAAGCTATTAGAAGGATTTTGAGCTTTATTCACTTTTTCAACACACTGCTATTATTTTGAACACAACTGTATATAGGAAGCACAATCTGTCCAACTTTCACTTTTCAATACTGACATTTTTTCTACATTAACATTTATTTCTGTACTGTATATTGTTTCACATAGCCTTCAATTAAATTCAATCTTATTTAGAAATGTTATTGTTATTGGTGATACAGGAAGCAAATAGCGTGAGAGAAAATTAAACGCCCACTGACCAAGTGAGATACTCTCGGAATTTGGACTGCAGTTGACAAAGACCCAAAGACAAGGTAAATTGAATGGATTTACTGATTTCAGCATAGCCTGCAGTCCGTGTTGGACTGCATTTGCAGAGCATTGATTGGTTTCATTTGCTGCCTAAAACGGTTCTTAAACTTGAACCTTTTAAACCTAAACCCCAGCATCATAAACCTCAATCAAAATGTGTACCAACATGTCAAAACACACAATGCAATAAAAGCTTTACCACCCTACCACAATTACCCAAAGCAATTGGCAACAAAAATCTTGTCTGAAATCTGTGCTCCAAAAGGGAATGTGACCATTACTTCAGTAGGCATTTAGAAAGCTCTAGGAGGCAATCTGGCAGAAGCTTGTCAACTTCCTGCTTAATTTGATCCTTTTCAAAACACTATTACTTTTAAACTTAACTGCTTAGCCACTACTATTTAGCCTAAATTAACTAATCCAAAATAAAAAAGCAAGCTGTCAAAAACAAGGTAATCTTAGTGAACTTTACCTGAACCAGACCCAGAGGAGTAGTCATCATCATCGATTGGATATACTCCTGAAGATTCTTCAATCGAAGTGTTATCAATATATAAGTCTTTGTCTGATGTAGTAGCCACCCGCTGTAAAATATAAATTGAGAAATATAATTGGATCTTACATAAAATAAAATATTTTTTTAGAATACAATCTATTTGCAACATAATACATTTGTTTTCCCTTCAATTATCACATTTTACAGTGCTTGCAGTGCACAAACCATGCACAGGCGGAACCCTCAGGAAAACTTCCTAGGCTACAAGCTATGACGGAAATCATTCACAGGCAGGTCTCTCAGAAAATCAGTTGAGCAGTGAGAGATCAATGAAGAGATCAATGATCAGATTACTAGAACCATGCAATCAAAGGTTTCTTTCCATTAAGAAAATAAGAGCGATAGCTACATGAGTGTCCCAGTTTTCCACTAAGTAAGCATTCCCAACTGGTTGCAAGTGGCGCTTATAAACACGGACAAATGCCAAGTGTTGCTAACAATGCATAAATTTCAATTTTATAGACATATACACTGATCAGCCATAACAATATGACCACTGACAGATAAAGTGAATAACACTGATCAACTCCTGACGCTAGCACCTAAAAGTGGGTGGGATACATTAGACAGCAAATTAACATGTTTTTCCTGAAGCTGATGTGTTGAAAGCAGTAGCAAGCATAAGGATTTGAGTGATTTTGACAAAGGCCAAATTGCTAGACGACTGGGTCACTGCAGTTCCAAAACTGCAGCTCTTGTGGGATGATCCCACAACGACCTATAAAAAGTGACCCTAGGTAGGAAAACCTACGAAAGGGTCATGGGTGGCCAAAGCTCAGTGATTTGCATGGGGAACAAAGGCTGGCCCTGCAGTCTGATCCAACAGAAGATCTGCTGTACCTCAAATTGCTGTAAAATGTAATGCTGGTTCCCATAGAAAGGTGTCAGAAAAACAGTGCATCTCAGTTTGAGAAGGGGAGAAAAGACACTGTTCTGACCGCCCGTGTAGTCCTGTGTATAGGGAATGGCCTCAGCCTTCATGCCAGCCATGAATCTCAGTTTGTTGCATATGGGGCTGCATAGCAGCAGACCAGTCAGGCTGTCCATACCGACTCATGTCAACAGCCAAAAGCGCCTACGAAGGGCACGTGAGCATTAGAACTGGACCACAGAGGAATGGAAGAAGATGGTCTGGTCTGATGAATTCAAGAGAGGTCTGGGGAACGTGAGTTTGAGGTGTTGACTTGTACTTTAAATTCTCTAGATCTCAATCCAATCAAGCATCTGTGGGATGTGCTGGAAAAACAAGTCTGATCCATGGAGGCTCCACCTCACAACTTACTTAAAGTATCTGCTACTGACAACTTAATGCCAGATACCCCAGCATACCTTCAGAAGTCCAGTGTAGTCCACGCCTCGACACTTATGGTGGGTGGTCATAATATTATGGCTGATCGATGAAAGACTAATCACAGAAAGGGCCTTTAACAGTAGGTTCTAAGAATGCTGAAATTATACACCCAAATAGTGGCAGGTAATTCCGTGTCAGTGGGGGTATGCCCCAAAAGTAGAAAACTGTATTTGTAATGCTCCCATTAGGTCTTGTGAGGAGAGGTATCCAATGAGATTAGAAGACTACCATCACATGCCTAAAATAAAACAGTCTGGTCCTTTTGCCATGTATAGATGTACAGAATGAAGCACTCAAAGCTGTAGCTACAGTTATGGAGGCCGCAAAATAATAAATCTAGGACAAAAGCAGTATGCCAAATGAAGTTCCTTCACAGAATACATCCAGCGCCCCTGTTTTAAACACCCTGTGAAAATGGGTCGCCTAAAACAGGTACACCTAAAACTGTAGTCAGATGGAAAAATGAAGGCGTCAATAGTTCAGCCCCAGGGATACAAGTCAGAACCACTTATCTTCTACAAGAATATGTCTGGGAACTTGCTGAAGTTGAACAATACTTTATTCACCTTTCTGTGCACTTCTGCAATTGCCAATTGACTCGCTATAGGCACAAATCAAAAAAATTAATCTATAGAACGTCACATCATGTGAAAGAACAGAATATGATTAAAAACAGACATGCCCCAGCACCTGTGCAGATTTATAAGGAGCAAAGCATGTATAAAAAGTAGGATACATTTTGTTTTGAGGCAGTCAAGCAGCCGCTTAATCTTTGTTCTGTCTGCTACAACCAGCTATAAACAAAGGCTGTACTGTGCCCTAAGGAATAAATTAAAGGGTAACTACAGCCCAAACGCAGGCTACTCCTCTGTACCAGAGCTCATGAAACCTGTAAACACTTGTACACTTCACAATGTTGTAATAAGTATTGTTCATCCTTTTTGACCTACTAATATGTCCAATTAAAATCCATGGTTTATGTAATACAAGTGGGTACACACAGACATATATCTGTACAAAAAAATGACTTTATTTAAAGGTACTGGGACAGGCTCAATACACAAACTTGTGATTCTATCTTACAAAAAAGTATAAAGCCAGGAGTAAATAGGAGTTATACAAGAACCCTTCTAGGAATAGTTTTGCTTTAATTTCTGAACAGTATTTGCAGCATTCTGCTGATATACTGAATGAATGATAAACTCCGAATAAACAGACTGCGTGGCGTTGTCCTAGAACAGTTTAAAGCATGTGTCACTTCTCTCCATTAATTGCAATGTCTTTCTATAACTTTTTCCCTTTCCCTACCTTGTAACTGCTGATAACAAGGTCATCTGGAAGCTCAATGTCTATGATGTAAAACTGTAAACCATGATAAGAGGGCAACTCATGACACCTAGCTGACCAGTAAATCAGCACTTACCCCTCTCCTGAGAGCAGTTTAGGGTTTGCTCACAAAACATCTATAAAGAGGTACTCTGCTCATGCTTTAATAAAACAAAATACTTCTGTTATGGGCAGACATTGTTTGGTGGAACAGCAACTGGCTTTTTATCCACGTAGGGACAACATTGGTGAGGTTTTCCACATGATGTTCCTGGTCTGGCCCCATCCCTAAAAATCTGGATTACGTTAGGTTCCTTGATTTAGGATGCCAAGTTCCAAGCAATCCAAATGATGGGTGTTTCATAAGCTAATCAAACGAATACCTCCCCCACTCTAGCTAAACAAACAAAAACGTAAGGTTTGGCTATAACTGGGCTTTAGCCAGGTTGTTTTGGCCAAATCAGAAAGCTTTGATTGATCATGAGTGTGACTTCAAGTAAACTTATGAGTACAATACAGTTTTTACAAATAAGACTCACTTTAAGGAGCAGACACTTTTCTAGGATTTCACAGCTTCCAATCCTTTATAGAACAGCACTAGACTCCTAGACACTGGGGATAATCTAAAATGCTACGTACTTCCCCGATGACCTATTATTGTGATGGACTCTAAAATATCTGATGCCCCTCAGAAATTATGGGTTAAGGGTCCCTCTATGAAAAATCAGAAGCAATTAACAGATACCTGCAAGACTTGCTCTTAAAACCATACAATGTCCACATGTTTATTTTAAAGAGCTTTAAAGTAGGCCTTCACTCCCAAAAAACACTTTGCATCTTTGCAACCCTCCTCCCTCCACAAACTGAAAAAATAGATTACAGCAGGACAATGCTAGATTCACTAGGCATGTGTGTTATTTACGCATAACCCAGCTAAAAGGTAAGAGGTGGGTAAATGCAAAATTAACCACAGGAGTGATGTTCCTCCTCAACCTATGGTCAATTTAGGCTGGATTCACACCTGTGCAGAGCATGAACTGACACCAAATGAATAGGGCTTAGGACCGAAAGTCTTTTACACAAACTTTTTGGACCACATACTAAATCTTATAGTTCAATCCAGCTTCCAAAAAAATTGCATTTTACAGCAGTATGCCAACTGCTAAGCTGCTTTAGTCAAATTTCTAAGATAGCCTAAATGAAGAGATTAAATATTAATGTGCGGAATTACATCTCAGTGTTAATACACTTCTTGTTTAACTGTAAAATGGAAGTGTGGGTGTAGATCCTGTGAATTCTTGATAACCTTGGTAGTTACACAGGTGGACATGGAGGGTAATGGACTGTAACCTGTGACAGAACGGATCTATACTTTGTTCAGACTTTTCAAATGATGTTTAGAAGACTTTTTCAGAGTGTAACCCAAAAGTTTAACAAAAAAACATTTATATAATAGGATGTACATGAATCACCAATAACATTGTTGACTTCTGGAGTGTTACAGTTTTTCATCAGATGAATAACACTGTTACTGGTTGTTCAGGCATTCTCATAGAATATTGGCACAGTGGACGGGTGGGGGTTAGCTACAGGATTAGACTTAACCCTGAACTTAGTGCAATTAAGCCCTCCATAACAGAGTGGGCTGTCGACACTCCCAGCTGCACAAATGGGGCACCACAAAAACCTTGAGTGCCTGGTATAAAAAACCAAAATGTTTAGGTATATATCACTACCAGAATCAACAGGTTCTCTTTATAAATTCACTGGTGGCATCTCCCATTTTTCTATCCTGAAAGGTTCTGTTTGGATGACTAAAGAACTTATTTCAACAAATGTTTAGCTTATTAAATGAACAAAGCTGTAAGGACATGCAAGGTAAATTCTATTGGTGACCCATTTGTAATACTATCAGTAGTCTTGGATGCATCCGCTGGTGTCCCTTACAATTAAGCCTTTCTAAAGCTGGGTATGCACTAGTATAATTTCATTTGACATTTTTCATTGTAAAAACATTGTAAGAATGTTCCTCCATTTTCCTAATCATTAGTGGGGTCAAACTGATGTTCGTGTTCAGCTGAAGCGATGGGAAAATTCAAAGGTGCGGGATGGAAAATTGTACTGAAATGCATGGAATTTCTAACAGTGCATGTGGTTTCCTGTTAAAAAAATGAATCCATCTTGAACTACTTTCGAGTGCCATTCAATGTACTAAGAAATTTTGCATTTTTCTCCAAAATGCTATTGTTTACCCAGCCTAAAGCTATACAAGGCAAGCACACTGGCCAGAAATACTGATTTTATAGCTTGTGTATAGGAGGCAACACCACCCTAATAGTGAGGTGCTTAGGTCGGTTAACAGTAGTTCTACAGTGCAGAAGAGACACATTTCTCTGCTTCCACTGCACACAACACCATGAGGTAGGAATGTA